ATTTCTGTGACTTTTCTCAGACTGAAGGCAATCTTCAACTAGTAAAATAACTTTTAAACCTTCAACTAGTAAAAAAACTTTTTACTGGTCTTATCAGTATCGCAATTATCTCAGTCCCTCCACTTTCATGCCTTTATGTATCACTTCTACCTGTCTAACAGAATAGCCTTTATTTTCCCCATTATGAACTTCACACCAATTTTCTGCTCCACTTAGGGTCAAGAAAGCCAAGAAAGTGCATATCACAGTTTTGGTAGAAAGGAAGTACAAATAATATGTAGATAACAGCATGTTGTTTGTCAGAGCCTCATTCCTCTCATTAAATATTCCTATGGTGAGATCTGTAAGCCTTTCAGTCTGCCATCAAATTTTCTCAATATCTAAATCTTCAGAGACCATTCAGAGCAGATATGTAACCCATAGTTATGTTTGGAATACCTTTTAAAAAAATGAACTGAGCCAGTCATGGTTATACTCCTTCTACCAGCAAATGCTCCAGGCAGATCCCAATGCAGATCACTGCAGTTTGAAAACTGCTAAAACCACGTTTAATACAGAGAATTACATGCGTCTGAATGTCACCCATCACCAGAAGTCAGGTGTAACGAATCAAGCATTTAAGAGGTGTACTCAAAACCTTCAACTTCAGTTTAAGTATCCAACTAGAGGTATTTTTTCCCAGTCTTCCAGCTGAGTAAGGGAAAAACAGGCTTTTTTTCATGAGGCAACATGTGTTCTTCTAAGCCCCCTTGAAGAAGAATCTCTCTCTGTTATTTGCAAGGAGTGTTGGGGCCTCTCAACATAGTGAATTGAATTAGGAATTAATTTCTACCTGCTAACTCCAAAATATTTGTTTGACAGCTTTGTATATATCCAACATTTATTATTTGAGCCACTGAATGGGATGAATAACTAATGATCGACATGAGTTATTCAAGAAAAATAGTTTCCTCCTATCTGCAGCTTGCATGTATCTCTGAATTCCACAGGAGCACATGATGCAGTCCAACATAATAGTGGTATTTCAGCAAAGGATGTGCATGGCCACAGCAATCACTGCATTTTAGACAACTGTTTAAAATTCAGCCTGGTATTATGTCCTTTGCCAAATTCAGGCCTAACATGGCAGATCTGTTCTTTATTTCCTTACTCATTGTAACTATCCTTGCTTCAGTAATTTCAGAATTATGTATGTTTGATAAAAATCACAACTGGAAGAATACTTATATGTTACCACTGCACACTGCCATTACACCTACTGCATCTTCATGCTTGCTAAAATGCCTTTGCTTCTGGTCTGTTTCCAGGTGCAGCTCAAGGTGCTGGTTGTGACCACAAAAACCTCTTCGCACTTTGGTTTCTAGGGATTTTCTATAAAAAGAATATTTTCAACAGGAAAATCTTGAAGGAACTGTATTTTAAGGGAAAAGCCCTCAACTTCTAGCTTGCTTCCCCTGAGCACTCATTCAGTTACATGGAATCTTTTGTCTGTCATTTGTTTGTAAGGCTTTCACATGGCTGCCAGACTAAAGAAGTTTTGCATTCATTGGATAGAAAGGATAGGTGATCAAATGTTCTGAATGCATTTTTAATTGCTCCTGCATACACCATCATCATAGGATCAAAGGTCACTCTGTAGCAAAACACAGGTGAATAAAAGAAAGAAACCAGAAAATAATAAGTGAGAGCACATCTGAAGTATATCCAGGATAATCAGACTTGTGTTTGCAAGAAAAACACTGGAATGAGTGCACACACAGAAGGATACAATAGCCTGTGTTTATTGTCAGCTTATTATGTCAGTTTTTTGTCAGTTTATTATGTTATGCTGAAATGTGCGAGAAATACCATTGGGATCTTTTATCTGTGATACTGAACAGCAGTAAGAGATGAAAGAAAACAGCAAGGCAGCCCTGACAAAATGACAGAAAAGGAAAGGGTATGCTCTTACTCAAGGTTCATATTGCTAAGAAATGTCCACAGAGTAATAGTCTTTTCAACAGTTTCTGCATCATAAACTAAAATGCTTCTTTTTAAATCTTTTTAGGAAACTTCATTGTACTCGGAACTACATCCATCTGAACCTGTTCCTCTCTTTCATTCTAAGAGCAATCTCTGTTTTAGTCAAGGATGATATTCTCTATTCCAGCTCCAACACAGCTCACTGTCCAGAGGATCAAACCTCATGGGTAATAAACCTCATTTGCTACCTGGTGTAACACTGTTTCATCACTGAATTTTCCTCCCTGATCCTTTTAAATATTTAGGAGTACCAAGATTTCACTGTAGACAATTCTGAAGAGAACATACTGACTGGGAGAATGGGGTGTTCGATGAATCCAGATAAAGAAGGTTGCAGCACAAGTAGGAGACCTTAACATTGTTTACATGTACATGAAGGACAACTTTTCATCAGCCAAGACAAATCATGACCAGATACAGCTGGTTAAATAAACAGCCAGCCACTATAAATAAATATTAATAAATATGAACAAATATGGCCACTGCATTAATCAGCTGGGAGGGTTGAAGACAAACAGGAGTGCCATCAGCTGGGAGTGATTAAAGGCAGCTGCTCTGGAAGTGTTCCCGCAGCTTTATCAGGGGTGCAGGAATTGGACAGGTATCAGTGGAGGGAGGGAATAACTCAGGAAATTAAATATTTGCAGGAGTTGTCTTCATTAACTCCTCAGTACTTCTGGGCTATGACAGAAGTGTTATCATCTACACTCTTGGCAAGCTAATATGTTTACTGCATTTTCATGTACGGGGTTTAAAAAAAATCTCAAATTTTGCTGTTAAAAGACTGACCTCTATATGATATGCCCCATTTGCTGCCATGTTGTTTCAGTCAAAAATCCCTTCTAATTTTAATTAATGACAGTTCAGGCTTGTGAGAAAAAAAATGGAATAACATATTTTTTTGTCTTGATGAAGCCATATTGTTCCAAAATGTGAAGTTCTTAGCAGTGAATACCAAGCTGTGTATAGGAATTCATACTCTGGGATATTTCTAATGGAGAAAAACAGGAACTGAGTTAGTAGACTGCAATTAGGCAAAGTAGATAGCAGACAGATTGCCAGGGGTAATCAGAAGTTCTTAGGTCCTTGAAAGACTGTTCAGTGGACTCTCAAAATTCTACTTGGTTTCTGCAGTTTCATTCATTCCCAGTTATTCTTGGCTACAAAGCCCTATACTTCCCTATTTAAATATGTCAGATTTTGTGGACTGCTGGCTAATTTCTGTTGCATTGAATGTGGGATGATCTGGCACCAGCCTGACAAGGCTGGTCTGTCTATCAAGCACTGGTGCTGCCTTTCACACATAACAGCACGTGGGGTTTTCCCCTTCTGTCATGTGTGTGTGATGTTCCACAGTCCTGCTGCACTCACAGAGGTCTAAAACACACAGTTCATAAGCTCTGTAAGTAGGTCCTGGCTCTGGACTACAGGAGAATTAATTTTGGCTAACTTTACTGATAGATACCTTCCCTGTTCAGCATGAGCAAATACAGCTCATACAGGATTACCTGCAGGAGGAAGGGAAAATACTTTGATGCAGGGTTCTGGTATGTAAATTGAGAATGTAGTAGAAGGGAATATTGTAGTTTATAAAGGATTACAAAATTTTGACTGCTGATATGATTGTAAGGAGTCCTAAGCATAAAAGTAAATTTCAACTTGCATGAAAATTTCAACTTTTCACGCATTTTGAAATGCTTAATTTTATCCATCTTACATTTTCTGGCCCATTGCTGATCTGCAGTGGATATCCCAAACTCCAGAGGTAAGATCAGTTTTACCAAAGTTAGCTAGCTTTCAGACTTTGGTTGTAGGCAGCTAAAATCAGATAAAATAAATTCAAGCCTTTGGACTCTTCCTTAGTTTTCTGTATAAGCATGTACACAGGCATGGATGTTACTTGGAATGCACTGAGGTGTCTGAGACACCCTGGGGGGCTGATGGCTATGAAGAAGTCTCCCTGAGGAGGTCTGTGCCCTTCTGGCTTAGCAGCTGGTGACTGCATCTCACTTCTTAATAAACATCTAGGTTTAGAGAGAGGAATTAATCACTGAAAATTAGTAAGTTACCTGCTTAGGTGTCTGGTGTAGTTGGAATTTTAACAGAAAAATGCAGGTGTAAAGGGTATTTAAAATGGAGAAGTGAGTAAAGCTGGTAGAAACTAGAGATTTTATTTGGTCCAGTTTGTGTAGTCTGTTACATTCACCATATCATCACATTTCTTGGGTACATTCTCAGTCCACATGAACATTTTCATATTCAATTCTCACATCCCAGATTCCTACTGGGAAGTACCAAAGTAGCAGCAGCCAGCACTATGGAACATCAGCAGCACAGACATCTGAAAATTAATTCTGAAGACCAGCACACAGACTATAAGTATCATTTTTTGATATATGTCTATGTTTTGTTAACTAAGAAACATTAAAATTTTTTCTAAAGGGAAAACATTAATTTTAAAAATCCAGACTTTATCTTCTAAGTCTACTAGGTAATCACATAAAGTTACTTCATAATAATTTAGTTATTTTTCACTCAGTTTCACATTTAACTTTGAAAAAATCATAAAGTACTTTCTTTGTTAAGTTTTACTGTGTTAGGAAGCCATGTGAGGTTTTAATACATTTATTAGACTCCAAGTAGATGATAATTTAATTTTATAGCAATTCATTAATAAACTGTTGCAGAAGTGTGCATTTATTGATAACCACTATATTTTTCTATATTTATCCTATGAAGTTTTCAAAACTTCTGAGTGAATTTGCAATGAGAGCCATCTAAATAATTTTTAATAATTCACTTTATCTCAATATATACAGTAACATTTACAATGTTGCAATTTGCTTGACTGAAGATAAACATTTCTGCTGGACCTGGCTTATTGATACTACAAAGACAGCTAAGATTTTTGGCTTTAGTAATAAAAGTAATATGGCATCTTTCCTGTGACAAATTTGATCCTTCTTCTCATATTTCAGGTGGGCTGCAAGGCAATTCTGGTGTTTTTTCAGTACGGTGTTATGGCAAACTTTTACTGGCTCTTGGTAGAAGGACTTTACCTCCACATCCTCCTTGTGCTAATATTCTCCCCCAACAGACACTTCACGATCTACCTGCTGATAGGATGGGGTAAGAACTTGCCCATCTCCCAGTAATGTTCTTTTTTCTGTGTGTGTGTGTGTTGGTCAGGTTCAGTGTTTCATACCAAGGTAGTTGAGCTGTCTCTGCTGGTGACTCCTCAGGCTCACAGATTGCTCAGCTCAGCTCCAGCACAGGAGAAAGAGCAGGCACAAAGCTGCTGGAGCAGTTCTTCCCTGCTGACACAGCTTTCACCTGTGCCCAGGGATTGCTCTGGCGCAAGGGCTGCCACTGCAAAACATATGATTCAGGTGTCCTAATTTGTGAGGAAAATTAAAGTTTAGCTCCACAGCCATGAGCTATATTTTATGCAATTTTCCTTTTTGAAGAGCCCAAACAATACTGTCCATCTGGTTTTAAATACATATATTCCTTTCATTTACAGAAAATGCCATGATATTTATATGGAACACTTTAATACTTCCAGTAATAGGTGGTCGTAAAACATTTGGGTGTTGCTGGGAAATCGGAATAAACCAGTGTGTGGATAAGGTTCCTTATGAAATGATTTATACTTCTATTTTATATTGCAGTCCTTGGAGGTGGATTGGGAATGCATAACTTGTATCTATTTCCCTGTAAGTTGCTCTGACACCTTGCAAAAAACCTAAGAAAGGCGGGTTTTTTTTGTGTATTAGTAATTATGGCTGCATTCTATAAGAAATAAACTCACTTTCCTGCAGTCTTTGTTTGTAATACATTACCTATGTATACATGTAATCATGTAGCTCATCAGATGGACCTCTCCTTCCATTCACTGAACTGTTTACTATATGCTGTGTATTTGGTGAAGAACTGCTTACCAGCAGGCTGAACTTTTTTTTTTTTTTTTTCCCCCTGTGGACTTGCATTTTTGTGATCATTCTCTAAACCTCTGGCATTTTTCAGGAATTCCTACAATATTCATTATTACATGGACAGTGACACGGATCATTCTAGAGGACACTGGGTGAGTGTGTGTGGGAGAGAAAGTTTAAATCCCCCCCATGCCTGTGCAATCCTTGCCTTGGGTATGGTATTGCTCACACGAAGGTGGTTTGCTGCTCTGGAGGGGATGAGCACAGAACTGAAATTTCAGAGATGGCAATAAAAGGGCAGGTGTTTGGGAGCTCTTCAGCTGTGGTTTATGCTTGATGTTTATTTGAAAAACTCAGAGAGCAGGAGAGAGCAGGGATAAGTTATGACTCCTGCTACTCCTTGGCACACCCACATCTGGAGCTATCTGCTTGGGAAGTCAAAGTAATGTTGGAAACAGCAGTGGGGTCCTTGGGCTCAGTGCTGCAGCATGTGCTGGAAGGCACTGGCCATTCTAATTTGCTAACTGGCAACTCGCAGGATTGGAGTGTAGATAACTTTGGGTAAATATAAATTACATTCCCAAAAGTGAAGTGATGTAAGGGTGTGTCAGATGCACATAGCCAGGTAAAGCTAAAGCTAACTAGAGCTAAGCCTGGCTCCTGGCATGTGAAGGGGAGCTGAGACAAGAATTTTGTAGGAAAATCAAACTTGATCCTGCTGCTCCCAAGGAATGGGAGAACATTCCTAACTAGTGGACAAATAGTTTGCACAGTCCTGTTTTGTCCAACTAACTATTATGTTTCAATTTATTCTGTAATTAAACTGAAAAATCATGTCCTACATAAATTCAAGTCTTTCTTTGCAAGACGTCTAACGTGTAAACCAAAGGCAAACTCCTTTTCCCTTTTTCATTATGATTACAGAGGAAGTCTGAGGGGTAATTAATCTCTAATCTGACCAACCTTTCAGAGCACTAAGAGTATTTGGATCAAAAGTGCAGAGCCCAGGGTGAAAAATATTCAGTTTTTCAGGCAGAACTTCAGGTTCAGTCTCACATTTTCACAAACAAGTTCCAGGCATCTATAACCTACATGTCCCACAAGAAATGATGTAATTCCAGTTGCACCTGTCAGTTGCTTTAGATGTTCCTGCTACCCAGAGGTCAGCATTAAGTGCACACTGGAGAAATGTCCTCACACAAAGTGAAACTGAGCTTGGTTCCCACAAAGGTCAACATCCTCCATGATGTCTAATGGTACAGCTCAGTGTGCTTGATGTTTTAGCTGCTTTCATAGAGTCACAGAATGGATTGGTTTGGGAGGGACCTTGAAGACCAGTTGGTTCCAGCCCTCCTTGCCATGGGCAGTGATGCCACACTCAGGTTACTCAGAGCCCCATCCAGTCTGGCCTTGAGCACTGCCAGGGATAGGACGTCCACAGCTTCTCTGAGACCACACCCTGAGACCTGTGTCCAGTTCTGGGCCACTCACTGCAGGAAAGACACTGAGGTGCTGGAGTGTGTCCAGAGAAGGGCAACGGAGCTGGTGAAGGCTCTGGAACACAAGTCTGGTGAGGAGCAGCTGAGAAAGCTGGGGATGTTCAGTGTGAAGAAAAGGAGGCTCAGGGGAGACCTCATCACTCCCTACAACTGCCTGAACAGAGGTTGTAGCCAAGTGGGGCTCATTCTCTTCTCCAGGCAACCAGTGACAGGACAAGAGGAAATGGCCTCAGGCTGTGCCAGTGGAGGTTCAGTTTGGACATTGGGAAGAATTTTTTCGCTGAAGGGGTTGAAAAGCATTGGAATGGGCTCTCCACAGAGGTGATGGAGTCAGCTTTCCTGGAGGTATTCAAGAAATGACTGGATGTGGCACTTAGTGCCATGGTCTAGTGGTCCTTGGTTGAAGGTTGGACTCAATGATCTCAGAGGTCTTTTCCAACCAAAATGATTTTGCAACTTTATGAGTAAAGAATTTCTTCCTGACATCTAAATCTCTCCTCTTTCATTTTTAAACCATTGTCCCTTGTCCTATCACTACATGCCCTGGCAAAATGTCATTTTCTCTCTTTTTTATAAGTCCCCTTTAAATGCTGGAAGGCCACAGTGATTTCTCCATGGAGCCTTGTATTCTCCAGGCTGAACAACCCCAACTCTCAGCCTGTCTTTGCAGGAGAGGTGCTTCAGCCCTCTGATCACCTCTGGACCTGTTCTGACAAGGCCACATCTTTCTTCTGCTGAGGAGTCCTGAACACAGTGAACACAGTGCTCCTGGTGGGGAAACCAAGTATGCATATCAAAACAAAGGGAATAAAATTAATGGCAGGAAAGGACTGAATGCCAAATTCTGGGCTAGAGCAGGCATTATTTTAGTGTGCTTTGACTTGTTTATAAGAATATTTCTTATAGGTCTTGCTTGCCAGATGATATTAATGTCAACATGATTTTCCCTCTTTTTTTATAGCTGCTGGGATACAAATGAGCATGGTGGTCCCTGGTGGGTTATACGAATACCAATTTTAATTTCTATTATAGTAAGTAAAATTTGAAGCATGAATTATAGATCTGTTCAGCATTGTGCAGTGCATGTAGCCATTATTCTTTACTGCTAGTTACAGATAGGCAAGAATTCCATTTTAATGAAAAGAAATTGTGCTGCAGGAGAAATGTTAAACAGATGCCAAGGCCATTAAAATTTGTTGCCTTCAAAATTTATCTGCCTCCTATTAAATTAGCAGTTGCTTTTATTTGTGTGTTGTTCTTTCTTTAATGTCTCTCCTGTTTATGAGCCTGGAGAAAGGAAAAATCTAATTATACTTCTCAATGAATTGCAGATTTGATTTTGTGTGTAAATAGATAGCCTTGCAATCAAGAATGTGATATTAGTAAAAAAAAATTATGGCTGTGTATATCTTTCTTTAATTGGTAGCCTACTCAAATGTATATTAAACATGAAGTATTTGCAAAATAATACCATTGGAGAATGTTTCACAGGGCTTTTCTTGTTTGGAACTCATTAGAATTACTGGATTAGTGTAATAATATTCCAGTTGACTGTAATGATTGTGTAATTAACTTTGGGCATAATGTACTATAGTTATATATTCATTTCTGAAAATAGAGAGCAAATGAATATATTTTAGATATACTTGCTTCAGTTTTAAAATTATAGGCAGAAGATCTAGGGCATCATTAGATTACACAAGATTTCAGGAGTTTGCATTAAGCTCGGCCTTGTCTTTCAATCTGTGGCTGCTGAAAATAATTTTGGAAGAAATTCCTGTCATCAATATCAAAGTGAATTCTGCAGTTTGAAGAGAAAGAAGAGTAGGCCATATGTGTGAAATGACATAAAATAAGGCCTCAGAGATGTTTTATCTTATGAAGAAATGAGCATGCAAGAGAACTACAGCAGGAAGGGAATACTTTACTTGGACCTCAAAGGAGCTGGAGAATGGGGAACAATCCAGAGTTAAGAAAATATGTTGGAAGATAAAAGCAAAACAAACCACCTGGTGTTTACAGGAAACCCTGTTCTCTGGAAGCTCAGTTTGAGCAGCTATCTGAGACTGCATGTGCCAGAAGGCAAGGCTCCTCCAAAGCAGCCCTAGACCTGGAAGTTATCCCAGGGCACATTGGCAGACCTGAACTGCAGCTGGATCTTAGTGAAGACTGGGAAGAGAAATCAGATGGAGTACTGGTCAGGCAGCAAAGTTTGATCTATGCCACAGTATTGTGAGAGCAAGTTCAGATACCATTTTGCACAGTAGGAATGGCTTCAGTCAATTCCGTGTGTCAGAGCCCTCCCTGGCATTTCCTCCTGAGAATTCTGGCTTGAGAGAAGTCATTTGGCAGACATTCACACTTCATGCTGTACACACTTCAGTTGGGGGTGGCTGTTCCAAATGAATGTGCTGTTGCCCCTATTTTCTCCTTGTCCACTAATACTGGTTCCAGTGCATATGGCAAGTTAATATCCCCTGCTGTGGGCACTCAGCTGTATTAAGTCTGCAGATAAAATCTGCAATTACAGACTTCTGTCTGTTACCTTTATAGGTAAGCCTCTAAGTAATCATCTGTCTGAAAAAAAAAAAGTATGTTAAGTTCAGCAAAAGCCTGTATTTTCTAACATTTCTTTTTTATTCTTTCTAAACAATATATTACATATAATTTTCCTAAATTTTTATTTCATTCCTATAATTTCCTTTCACTACCCTTCACCTGTCATTTTGAACAAAGTGTTAAAAACAGAGGGACGTGCAGTTGCTATGACTGTGTTTTATTTATTAGTATCCCAAATTCTATAGGCTGTGTTATAGAAGACATAGAAATCCATTGAACTTGAAAAGCTTGGAGCCAAATTTTTAAGAGAAGGAAGGGTTCCACCAATACATGAAGACAGAAATTTTTAGCAGTGAGACAGGCACTGTCTGGTTAAGTACTCCAACTCCCGATTTTGTGCTTTGGGATGGAGTTAGTTTAAAACTACAAAGTTCTCATTTTCACCATGATATAAATTTTTCTCTGGATTAATTTCTTCTAAGATGTGTGCATTTGATGCAGCTGTTTATGTAACTGGAGTCACAGTTTTTAGCACACATTGTAGCTCTGAAGGTCTGGATTCCAACTGTTCCTTACTTCAGCTTGGACATGCTGTATTTAGTGTGCAGTTTTCTAGACCACACCAGAGAATCCAACACCAGAAGAGATGGGGACCAGAGGAAGCTGCAAGTCAAGACTGAAGAAATAATGGGAGTGACACTTAGGACATACTGAGTTTCATACTTCAATTTTCTAGGCTGATTAGGTTCTGATCATAATGATTTTTATGCAGATGCCTTTCTGAAAAATAAAATACTAAATAAAATACAAAATGAAATGCTACTCTTCTGTCTTAGAGGGCTGTCATGAGAATTAGGCTGCAGATGGACTGGATGATCTCCAGAGGTCCGTTCCAACACCAGCTGTTCTGTGATTCCTTCATTTGTAATGTCAGCATCAATATCTAAGACAATATCTAAGACCTGTGAGAGGCCCTTTTTGTGTTTGGTTGGAGCAGACAGATCAGCTATGCAACAATCTTCTCTAACCCTAATTCAGACAGAAAATACTGAAAGTTGAGGTGAGGAGCGAGGGAGGGTCAAAACTGCCTCTGGGCTTCCGCTTGTGAATCCACGTGACAATTTAGGACAGTGCTTGATTGCAGAAAACCACATCCAGTGTCCCAGCCTGGGAAACCTGTCCTCAGCTGAAGTAGTGGAAGGAGGACACTTCTGAAAACTGGGGCTTTCAAAGACTTTTGCCAGCCAGAACAGCAGTGTGGGCTTGCGGGGTTGCTGGACATGGCAAAAGTGGTGCTACAGAACCCGAGAGGTTTGGCACTGCAGAGCTGAGGGGTTCTGGAGGGAGGTGCACAACTCCCATGCTGACTTGGCTCCTGTCTGACTCGATAAGAATTTCTTTTTGCTAAATATTGAGTGGAGAATTCAGAAATCATCATTATATTTGTTTTCTTTGCAGGTGAATTTTATACTTTTCATTAGCATTATAAGAATCTTACTGCAGAAGTTAAGATCTCCAGATGTTGGAGGAAATGACCAGTCACAATACAAGTGAGTCATTCTTTTAGATATTATAGAGAGAAGCAAAATAATCTCTGTAAGATTTCATCTGCTGAGAACCAACAACTGCTGTCTTACTATAATTAGATTTAATTTAGAACTACTTATTGACAAAACACGCTATGCAGAAATAAATAATGTCATTAAAGCCAAGAGAAGCAGGACCTTAGGTGTTTTGTAGACAATGTGACATGTTTGATGCAAAAGTGAAAAATTCTGATGTGCCACAGAAAATCAACACAACTGGACTGACAAGCACATTTGTTTTGCAGAGCTACAAGGGTCTTGTTTTGTGTTTGCTGATTCAATTATCTAAACATGTGGGAGAGGTTGTTGAATCTAGATGAAACTGTGCAGTTGCTACATTATTATGTAGCACAATGGCCAACCTATGGGCAGGAAATCCCCTCAAGTTTACTTCTTGTGACATAAAGTTTTCATTGCTTGCATGTGGTATTTATTTAATTTTTGAAAATTATGTATTCCCTTACTTTCATTCCCACCATTTTGCACAGTTTACTGTAGGACTTTATCATATGAAATATTCACATTAATAGCAACCTTGTCCTTCATTATTCAGCCCTGTAAACTCTTTGCTTTTAGCATTTGATTGCCTGATTAAGTTTGCATTTCTGGTCTTTAGCCGATACCCATGGGAAAGTAGATTAACCTCCTCAAGAAACTGCATCTGCAGAGCAAATTAAAAGATCTGGGAGGCTCGTTTATAAAATTTCAAATGCATTTTCTAAAATGAAGAGAAGAATAAGACTGTTTTGTTTGTCCCTTTCTTTTACTAAAATGTAAGTGCAGTATAGAGAAAGTAGCATCAACTAAACAAAACCTACTAAGCCAAGCATGGAGTGAAAGTGAAATATGGATCTAAAATGAATACTGCTCATGCCAGTCACCATTTTTATTCCCTTCCTCTGAACCTGCTTGTAGCTGGTTCCATCTTTTTAGTTGTTTGTTTTACTCTTGCAGTGAACAAGGCTAAGTTCAAATAAAATCAGTTTTCCATTTCATTTGGGGAACCAGGAAATTTGCTGCCAGTGTCATCTCCTCCAGTTGTAAATAATTTCTTCTGCTAAGGAATCCCTATTTTTCCTGCTTCTGGTATCACCTTTAGATGTGAAGGATTTGCTGTTCTTGAGGAGCTTTGCTGTCAGAAATTATTTCCACATAAATAGATACGGCCCCTGGGCCATTATGAACAAAGAAAGGCCATGAAAACTGACACAGAAAAAATAAAACTACTTGAAATACCTTAACTTTTCTGTTAAAATAAGTGAATTCACAACAGCATCCTTTCATTGTTGAATCAAGTTCTATTCATCAATACAGTGACGAATTATGGAACTCAACATTATAACTTCTAAAATTTTATCTGATGCCAGACAGCCAAAATTGTCCATGACTGGCCCTGTATAATATATAAAACTGATATTATTAGAGTGAAATAAATGACAGATAAGGTAAAACTAGCAATTTTTCATTCCAGTAGTTTCACAGGCTGTTTGTCAGAGCAGCTCTGCTTAGTAATTTAAAGTTCTGTTTCCTTAACTTCAGTAAGTAGTGTATTCTGCTAAATTTTGTTATGTAATTGACAACATTGAAAATTATTTAATGGCATATGCTTAATACCATCAGTAAAGCTATGAAGTTTTAGTATTTGAGGCTCATGAAAATCCATTAGTTGAGATGATTCTGGATTACATTTCCTAGGTACTGTTTGCATACTGTGCATGTGCAATGCACAGAATAACCCTATAGTTACACATTCATCTCAGTAAAACAAGAGCTCATCATTAAATTGCAGCTTTGTTTCTTTCCTTTACCCAGGAGACTTGCAAAATCCACCTTGCTGCTGATTCCTTTATTTGGAGTTCACTACACAGTGTTTGCTCTGTTTCCTGACCGCAGTTCCAACAATTATAAAATAATCTTTGAGTTGTGTTTGGGATCTTTTCAGGTAAATTTCAAGGTTTTTATTCAAAAGAAGTTTTACTGACCTAGGTGAGTGCTGCCTACTAACTAAGGAATATTGTCTCTTTCCAGGGGTTGATTGTTGCAGTCCTGTATTGTTTTTTGAACAGTGAAGTAAGTCTCATCTTTCCTACTGAGAATGTTAAATACTGATTTTAGCAAATGTATAAGTGCCCCCATAATTCTGCTCTGATACACGAAACTGTTTTAGAAGATGTCTGCATTCCTATTAGTGGAATATATTTGTGACAGTTTTTATACAACAGGAGAAATCAGTGTAGCTGGGTGAAGAGCTTTAAGAGCTGTTTAAAATCGAATTCCTTGCAAACTGAGGTGTTAGTGTCTTCTGCTATTTAACATGATCTAATCTAGCTCTGACAGAAGCAATGTGCAAGTGAGGTGCAACACGTCTGAAAATTCACCTGGAACTTGAAATACCATTTAGTAAGTATTTAGGGGTAATGCTCTGTCAGTATCTAAACCTCAGAAAAGCACAGATTTTCAGAAGTTCTCAGCATGTCATAGTTTTCATAGTCTCAACTGAGAAAGATGCAAGAAATTCCTTTTGATTTCAGCCACTATGCAGTGTCTGACAGAAGGAATCTGTCTGAAGACACCTGCACAGACAATTAACATTCAGCTCTCCTGAGTGCTGTTCTGGTCTTTGATATTCATGAGATGCCTGATTTTGGGTTAATCGTTTGATTCTATGCCTTAAGTACATGAGATAAATAGCTCAATACCAAAACCTACTGTTGCAGCACAAGTGATACAAAATTGATTTTTGAAAGTGACCTTAAGGCACTTCTTCACACACAGTGTAGGCAGTCTTTGCCTCAGTTATGTGACCTTTGTAAAATTATATTCTAGAGGGAAGGGATGCCATCCAGAGGGACCACGACAGGCTTGTGGAGAGGGGGGAAAGAACCTCAAGAGGTTCAACAGAGCCAAGTTCAAGGCTCTGGACCAGGGTCTGTGCAGGGCTGACTGAGGGATGAAGGGGTTGAGAGCCATCCAACAGAGAAGGACTTGAGGATGAAGAATGGGCCATGAGCTGGCAATGTGCACTTGTAGCCCAAAAAGCCACCTCTATTCAGCATTAAAAGAAGCATGGCCAGCAGATCATGAGAGGTGAATTGTCACCAGTACAAGAAAGACATGGATGTGTTAGAGCAGGTCCAGAGGAGGCCACAGAAATTATCAGAAGGCTGGAACACCTCTCCTATGAAAACAGGCTGAGGGAGTAGGGTTGCTCAGCCTGGAAAGGAGAAGGATCTGGGGGAACTTCATAGCACCTTGGAGTACATAAAGGGGGGATTATAAGAAAAACAGCAAAAAACTTCTTAGCAGGGCTTGTAGTGTCAGGGCACTTCTAAACTGATATGTGGTAGATCTAGGAAGGAAAAAATCTTTTCTGTAAGGGTGGTGGAGACACTGTAACAGGTTGCCCAGAGAAGCTGTGGTTGCCCCATCCCAAGGCCAGGCTGGGTGATGCTCTGAGCAACCTTGTCTGGTGGAAGGTGTTCCTGCCCACGGAAGGGGGTAGAACTACATAATCCTTAAAAGTTTGTACCAATCCAAACCATTCTATGATTCTGTTCCTAGAGCTGCCCATGTGACAGCCAACAGACATGGAAAATTTCCTCACATAAAAGAAAATTTTCAGTTCATATTGTTCATTTCCTTTTGAACACAGGTGCAGGGGGAGCTGAAAAGAAAGTGGCGGAGTTTGTGCTGGAAGCAGACAGCAGGCAGAGACTACAGACTCCACAGCTCATCCATTTCCCGAAACGGATCAGAAAGTGTTTCCCAGCTCCACAGGAATTCAAGAGCTCACTCCTTTATGCAGACAGAGACCACCATGATATAAATGAGCTAGGTCCCCCCAAAACATGAAAAAACTGTGGGATATATCATTCATTATGCAGCTTGATGTGATATTTTATAACATGTACAGTTTAGTGCTTTGCTTTTCTACATGTTGGTACTTGGGGAATTGGTTTGTGCAGCCAAGCTATTATTAATGGAGAAGCCTGCCCCATGGATGCTTTCTGTTTTGTTCAAATGGTATTCATATTAATTCTGGTGTTCTCTTGCAGTTTACTAGCCATAACAATTCAAAAATTCGTTTTCCATAAAGGTCCCTTTACCTTCCAAAATGGCTATAAGATCCATGCAGGGTATCCTGCTCAATGCAGATTTCTTTGGCACATGTAAAGGGTTAAGATGGGAAGAAAATTTCTTACACTTTATTTATACTTAAGGAAACATTGCCTTAAGGATTAGGAAATTCTTTTCTAATTATGGAAAATAAAAAATAAAACAAAACTAAGACCATAATTAACCACACTGGGAGTTCAGTGTGCTAATCCAGGAAATCATTAACATGATTTACAAGAGAGGGAAAAAAGGTAGTACTTCTAGGCTAATGGTACACATTTCAGAGATTACTTTCTACAGAGTTTGATTTCAATCCTATTGTTACTTTCAAAAGTGCCTGGTTTGATGTTTGGGTGCAGAGTGTAGGGCTATTTTACAGGCCATACAGAAAAAACTGTCATGTTACTTTTGAATATAATAGTTTTCAGTTGCTCTCTTCTGTTTCAAGTCAGAGATTTGTGTTGATCTTTCATGAAGGAGTTTTCTGAAGAAGTGTGTTCTATTGCTAAAGCAGCCTGGCAAAGGATGAAAAACAGCCTTGGATAGCTCATTACACATGGAAAATACCATTTTTTACAGTATTATCATTGAACTCTGTCTCTAGCAACTACATATTTGACTGCAAAACACAAGGAATATTGCAGTGAAGTTGCAACTCAGATTTAACAAAAAATTTAAAAGGTTTAGGTTTATTCAGTTCTGTATCTATCTGAAATTATTTAAAATTTAGTCCTGACTGTGGCTCCAGGAAAAAAAAAATAGAATCCCTAAAAATTACCATAAAAGGCATAAAGAAGGAGTTTTCAATAATGCCAAGCCTCTTATGTAGCCATGTTTAAAAAAAAAAAGGCAGAGAACTGGCAGTCTTATAAAAATATACATAACATTTCCTCTCTTTGAAAGAAACAAACCCAGTCATGTTCTTTTCCCATGTCAATGTTTAACCATGTCCACCCTACATTACAAGTGGGAATAATATGTTTTGCATGAGTACCTCCACACCAACCATTGCCCTCATATTTCAGATAACAGATTTTATGGAGCCAGCAGAATTCAAGGTCCCTACTCTTGTCAGATAAAGGGAAGAGCAGCAGCAAGGGCATCCCTTGGCAGGCATATTTGTACATCCTTGAAAATATTACCAGTACTGGAAATATTGTCTGCAGCTGTCTAAGTGTGTTACAATTCTTGGTGTGATTTAATCCAGCTATTTATCAGTCAAACACAATTTGTTTTAATGGGATTGCCATGGAGTCACACAAAGTTTTGTCAGACCAAAGATAGAAAGGGCCTCATGGTTCACATGACTGCTGCAGAACCTCGTGAATATTACATGACACCAGCAGGTATCATTTGAGTTAAACAATAATCATTCAAAGAATTGTTACTTACAAAAATTGAATTTAAAGGAGCTGTTGATCACTTCCAGATTATTCATAGTGTTTTCTGTTTGGCAAAGTAACTGTGAGATTCTGGGTGGAAGTAGGGGGCCCAAGAACATTCCCATGGGGTCTAAAGATGTGCCCCTACACATGAATTTAAACTCAATATATTCCCAAAGACTTTAGACTGAGGAAACTGCTAAAATTTAGTCTGTTTCCTGGATCTCTTGAGAAACTTGTCACAAGCTCTTAACTACAAATATGTGGAGACCCACTGGAGTTTTGGGAGCTGCTTTTACACCTAAATTAAACACATCTGTGCACATTAGGATTCTTTGTCTGCAGTGTTATTGGGACTGCTCAGTTCCCTGAGATGAGACGTGCAGGATGTTCTTTTTTCCCCTTAATTTCTGGGGTAGAAAGGCACACGTGACAAGCATTCAAGTGTGCTCATCTTTGTGCTCAAATGAGGTTATGTGAGCAAGTTGACACACAGACAGAATGATAGCACAGAAATAGATGTTTCAGGCAATCATTTCCATCAGTCTGTTCTGCATGATGCATCACCAATTATATGTGTTTATAACACATTGTATCTTAGAGAAAACTGTCTTTGTTCTAATTAGGTGAGCATGAAAAAAAATCTGCATTTTAATTATTTCTGGGTTATAAAAAAGAAAAGCCTTAATAAGAAAATACATTTTATACTGCAACAAACCAGCATTGTTTCCTTTAAAAGGGTGCAGATGCCTTTGGGCTTGATTCTATTTTTCATGTAGGGTGAAATGCCACATGAGAATTTCATAGTGGGAGAACACAGAGGTTTCACTGAGTTTGTAAAGGACCATGTGGACATGCAATGAATGGCACACAGGAAAGAGAGGTGCTGTATATATTTTTCTTTCAAACCAGTATAAAATACAGTACTTTGGAGAACCTCATTCCTTTATTAATAATATAAATGCAGAAAATCTAAATACTGTTTTGCGAGGCAGTTTAACTTCATAATACTTTGTTCAGGCATTATCATGGCAGTAAAGACACAGAGGGCACTGCACTCACTTGTTTTTACTCACGGAAAATTTCTGATTTCCAAATAATTTTATGCAAAGTTATAGCAGTAAAACTATCATCACCAGTTTGGCAGCTGCCTTTTCATAGACAGATATAAAAATATCAGTAAAAGGTGCAGAACAGTTTGACCAATCTAGAACTTGACTAGTGTTTTTCATCTTTACAACACCCATAACAAGACAGCTTCTCATGGCTTTGTCTCTCATTGCATTTTGCTGAGGAGTATGGGGTTAAATGCTCTTGCTCTGTGCTGTGGTGACTCTAAAGAGTCAAAAGAACAATGCAATCATTTGGCCTTCTTCATCCCTAATCCCAGTTCTCATTCAGTCCTAGCAGCATCAGGGGAGGAAGCAGAGGCTGCAAGACAAGTGTAACCTTCCCCTGCACCTCCCTTCTTTACGCCTTTACTGCATACTTGATGCCTTTACTTTACTGCAATCTTTGGTTGCATCAAGGTCCAAACTGAGTTGTAAAGTCTTCAAGGCAAGAAACCTGGGATTTTTTGTCCATCCCCACTGAAAAGCCAGAAGCACAGCTTGTACTTACTGAACAAGAATGGTAATACAATTCACTCCCAGGACCATGGTTAATTGTTGTCCTTTAGCTCCCCTGGAGGCACCATTAATTCGGAGTGACTTCTGTCAGCATTACCTGCTGCTAATGCCTGGGGAACACAGTGACAGCTTGCTCTCCACTTGCTAACCACAATTAAAAAGATATATATGGACACTGACTTAAATTTTCCTCTGCAGAGTCAATTTCAGCTGGGCGCTCGATAAACTCAGGTGAAATTCTTCTGCCCTGGTTTTAGTGTCTGAAAGCTGCATGTTTGTCTCTGAGTTAAAGGCACTTTTAAAGTGCCCTCCACAGTCATCATAGAGAAATAGGCACTAGTTGAAGATGATTCCTTCCATGTTCAGCTGGGCATCTGAGGCAGGTAAGCTGGACCTAGTTTTTTCTGCACTTACTATAATGTAAGCCTGGGTTAGCTAGCTAGTACTTACATTTCTCACTCCAGAGATAGAATCAGGTAAGATGTATCCCTCCAGAAGAGATCATTAAACTGTCTGGGTAATGCTAACAGATATTCCTTTTTAAGCCAATTACCTTGGGTTGGCCAAAGTTATCCTCCAAGAAACGTGCAGTGTAATTCAAAAGGTCAGGCAGGGGAGGATCCCACAGTTCATTGGGTCAGGTGTCCCTGCCTGCCATGATAAAGCCCACAGCCTTATGTCCCATTTTGATTTGCCTGGCCTCAGCTTCCAACAAATGTTTGTTGTTTTGGGTAAGGTTTTTGGGTTTTGCCTTCTGTAGGAGGGCCATATGCTAAAAGAAAGTGCTTTACAGTACCCAAAATTTTCTTTATGTTGTACTGCAGGTAGCCAGCTGAAGAATACCCAATCTAAGCTTGTGATGGAGTGTACTGTGGCAGCAATAGGTAATTGGTGGCAAATAGCATTACAAAAAACCTTCTACAGTCAAGTTGGAGCCATCCTACCCCACTCTGTAGCATCTGCTTCATGTCCTGATTCACCCCAGGCTTCCCTTGGCTTTTAACATGCCAGAGGGGAAAGCAACAAGCACAGACCCTCAGCAAACCAGAGACTCTGTCTGGGGCAGATTGATGAAATAAGGCATTGCCAGGTGCATGTGTCACACAGTCCGTGTGTAAAGACTAAGATGAATCATCTGCATCATTTGTCCTCTATTTTTCTAAAAATCATCTTCTGTTAACTGTGAATTTGCCCAGTTCAGCAAAGTGATTTGGGATAAAGTCCAAATTCAGTCTATTCAGATTTTTTCAAACATCCTTAAGGAAAAATCAAGCCCTAAATATGTCTGACAAAAAGAAAGAACTGGCAAGTAACCTGCAGACTCTGTGTCTGCTGCTGTGTGTAAGGGTCATCATCTGAACAATTACTGTCTGTGCATCGTGATACAGGAAATACCTTTACCAACAGAAGTACCTTCATGTTACCATGAGTGCCTATATCAGCTGTGGGCTGTCAGTACTACCCTGGCATGACCAAATACAGAAGTTAGGATGCAGTGCTATTCTGTTGCTGAAAAAATAATAAAATTTAAAAGCGTTCGAACATCTATGTTACAAGAGTACATCAGGATTACACTTAAAAGGAGCATTCTACGATATGGGTTAACCATTCTGTTGAATCTGGTTCTGCCCAGTGATAGCAGCTTGTAATTAAATCTAATTCAGGAACATTTCTGTTGTCAGATTTAAAAAGTGACGGAAATGTCCCAAACCCCTCTATTTCCCAAAACACTGTAATAAGTTTATGATTACCTGCAGCTTTTTTTTGTCCTGGCACAAAATATGTATGTATGAGTATTACTTCAAATTTCTCTTTTGTCATCTTTGTTATAACTTTATATCTGTCAAGTATGGTAAAAAATTTAAGATTATGTAAATGAATGTGATTATTTTTTACAAAATGTACAGATTATGATGTTGTATAGATTAATGTGTGTAAATAGATTTCATACTGTAATTCACTATAGTTTTCTTCTGTTTTGCTCTTTTGTTCTTTTCTGGTTTCAGTTTTTAATGTCACAAACCTAACAGCCTTCTCTGAGATGTTATATATAAAGCTGTGAACAAATAAATGTTTACATCTTTATGCTCTTACAGGTAATAGTAGTCAATGACACCATAATGGACTGAAGAGGAATCAGAGAATAAAAATTTTAAAAGTTTTGCACAAAAAATCTATTATTTATGTTTTTTAAAAATTGTGTACAGTGATGTAGTTTTCTTACTGATTCAGTGTGTCATGGCCATGATGAAGGATGTGGCTAAGTAAATATTTCACTTTTTAATTCAGCAGCTGTTAGACACACATGTTGAAGAAAAACAATCCCTGGCTTTACTGAGGAATCTGTAGCTTTTTGTAACCTAGTTGTGCTTACAGGGGCATGAGAATGGCACACAGCTAGAGCAGAACCAAGTGATCCCATATGTTGTGTATGGCACCATCTCCATGGCCAGCAGCTATTTTTGATTTATCAAAACTTGATTGCCCAGTTATCTGTCAGAAGTACAGGTGTCTGTCTGGAGTACAGTATAATGCAGTGAGAGCAAAGGAAAGCTGTGAAGTCTCTCCTGTAGAGGCAACACCATCTATCATGGGGTTTTTTCCCTAAAAGCTGTGTACCTGTTTCTATAGCTGTAATGGGAATGGGCACAGGAAGACGCTGGCAGTGGTGTGTTGCTGATGGGACCAGAGAGAGAGGGGAGTACATGTGGGGGAGGAGGTGGCAGCTCATGGGGCAATCCCTGCCCTGGCAGTGACACCAAGCAGGGACAGAGGACAGAGCCTTTTCTGGTGTCTCTCACGGACCAGAGAGTCCTTCCCCTCCT